GGCAATGGAGGCGGAGAGAGGTAGTTGCAGGTAGGATGTATTTCGAGGGTGGAACCATAGGATTTCCTGACCGATGGCATGTCAGATATGTGAGCAAGAGGAGAGTCGACTGTGTACAGAGAGTTTAGTCTTAAGCAGCTGAGAGGATGGAGCTGCATCACTGAGATGAGGACTGTGGGAGAAGCTGCCCTCTTTGGGGGCCGGGCGGGGAGGGCTGAAGCAAGAGGAGTTTAGTTCTGTAGACAGTAAGTCTGTCAACTCCAGTTTGTCCTTGAATATTGGGCCGCGCCAGTACAGCCAAGGGTGATCCTGAGTGGGGGGTAGGGGTGAAAGGATTGAGAAAAGACAGACAAGAGAATGAAAGCTGGGTCTCGGTGGGATGCTGATGAGGAGACAGCGACGACACCCACAAGCCGTGTCTTTATTTTATAGCAGATGCCACGAGGCAGAGCAGGGGCGTGATCACGTTGTTTACAGCATTCTCGTGAGTTTCATCCCCACTCAACTACATGCACCGGAGCTCTATCACCAGGCACGTGGGGCCACGTGTTCGGACCATAGGTTCAAGCTCACAACCACAGCCGTTGGCTATGATTGTGCTGGGAGGGCCCTGCCCTCCAGCTGGGACTTGCGCGTGGCAATGAGAGAACCCTGTCCTTTCATTAGTCCGAGGCTTGAACCTGGCCAAACACTGTAGCCGCGCCCCATAGAATAGATAAGGCTTCTCCTAGTTTTTGAAAGGAAGAATTGGGTAAGGCCCAAAGGCAGATGGAGGGAAGGAACTGGGTGCTGAGTACTCCTAGAATTTGGAGGGTAGCAAAGAAGAATTAAAAAAAAATGTCCTTGGCCCGAGGTCTCTCAGGCATGGAGCTGGGCCCAGAGCCTTCTCCAGAGGCACAGGCCTGGCCCCTGCCGCCACACACAGGGTCTGCCCGGCATCATCGCAGGCCCAGCACCTTTCACCAGGAAAAAGGCGGAAAGTGGCATCTAAGATGCTCTCTGATGAAATGAAGAAACAGGTCCCCTTATTCTAATGAGAATTATTGTGTGAGAACCTGACTCCCTTAAGTTTGTGTATTTAACGTGACAAAAATGTCCTGATTTTTGACATGGTTTATAGTAAGACAAGGCGCAGATGGCCAACTGTGGCATGTAGGACTTTGCTTTTATTTAGCTACAAAACTAGCCAAGATAAATATAGAAGCCTCCCAGGACCTCTTCCATGTTATGAAAAACGTCAGTGCCACATTTCAAATGTAAGCAGCCAGCTGTTACTCTGGCAATACAAGTTTTTTGTTTGCTTGTTTTGTCTTTTAGTTTTTTAGTGAAAATATCATAAATAAGGGCATGTGATATTTCAAAACCGTAACCTCCAAATCAGAAAAAATTATGACCAAATTAGGTTAGGTTAATATTGGAAATATTAACCTAAGAAATATTAACCTAAAATATTAACACCTGAAGAGTGTTGGAAAATCCTAAAAAGAGGGAATGTATGTGTCAGAAATGAGCAGATGTTGGAGAGTTCTCATTAGCTTGGCAGGAATTCAAGGCTGCTCAAATCCATTTTATTTATTTATTAATAGCTCTTGCCTTTCACATTTTGTCTTGTTAAGTTACTATAAACTACTATACTTTAACTCTAGCTGGTTTGGCTCAGTGGATAGAGCATCAGCCTATGGACCAAAGGGTCCTGGGTTCAATTCCGGTCAAGGACACGTACCTGGGTTGCAGGCTCCTCTCTGGCCCAGGTCCTGGTTGATTGTGTGCAGGAAGCAACCAATTGATGTGTTCCTTTCACATCAATGTTTCTTTCTCTCTCTCCCTCTCTCTTTTATTCTCCCTAAAAATCAATGGAAAAATATCCTCGGGTGAGGATTAACTAAGAAATAAAAAAATAAACAACTATGCTTTTGTATTGAATGGTATCATCTGTGTATATAAAGAGCCAGGGGCCATCACATCCAAAAAAACCCAATGGACAACCAAACAGGCTGAGTGGGGTGACAAGGCCAGCAGGGGGATTAGTTAGGGATGACCAAATGACTGAGCAGCAGGCTGTGAGGGGCAACCAGGCTGGCAGGAGGGGCAGTTAGGGGCAACCAGGCTGGCAGAGGGGGGCAGTAAGGGATGACCATGCTGGTGGGGTGGGGAAGGTTAGGGGCAACCAGGTCAGCAAGGGGTGCAGTTAGGGGCAATCAGGCTAGAAGGGGGGCCAGTTAGGGGCAATCATGCAGGCAGGCAGGTGAGAAGTTAGGAGTCAATGGTCCAGGATTGTGAGAGGGATCGGGCCTAGGGATTGGGCCTAAACCAGCAGTCAGACATCCCCAGAGGGGTTGCAGATTGGAAAGGGTTCAGGCTGGGCTGAGGGGACCCCCCCCCCATGCACGAATTTTGTGCACTGGGCCTGTAGTGGTATATAAGGGGCCTAAGGGAAAGCGGGTGAGTTTATTTTGTTTAATATAAGAAGGAAAGACTTACTGCTCCAAACTCGCTCTTTTTTAGTGGATATTAGAAAACAAAACAAAAATTTGGCTTTGAGGTTCAACAAGCCTGGTTCCAGCCCCAGCCACAACTGGGTGAACTTGTTCAAGTTTTCATCCTTGGGTTTTCCTTTTCATCTGTAAAATTTTAATGATGTTGATGTTGTTATGCCCAGATTTCAGGATCCCCAAAAGCCCACCAGGGAGCCAGCTGAGTCTGATGCAAAGGCAAAGAGTCTTTATTCGAGCTAGCTTGACTCCCCAACCACACTCACCGACGCAGCGGCAAGCGGCAGAGAGAGCTAGCTCTGTGTGGAGAGGGGTTTTATAGGGGTGTTGGAGTAAGGGGAGGAGAGAGGACTGTGGGCCCTGCCGATTGGCCGGGCGCAAGTCACTGTCTTGTTACACAGGATGTGGTCGTATCTATGGCTCGCACTTCCCTTGATTATCAATGGTTAGTTTAAAGAAATCCTAGGTGTGGCTAGCAGAGGCTTTGGCTTCTGGGAAGAAGCTCCTTGCTGAGCACATGACTAAGGCTGCTGCCCAAAAATGGAGGATCCGGGGTAAGATGGAGGGCGTAGCCCTCACCCTGGGGCAAGATGGAGGGCGTAGCCCTCGCCCTTTCAATGTAAGTACCACAAAGTAGTGTACTTTGAATGACAGGACTTACCTTTTGAATGATGACTGCATTATTTTATAATAATAGGCTTTATTAAATGTTTCTGTAAAATTTCATGGTTATTATATTAAAATTCTAACTGAAACCTCATTTTAAACTAAGAAGCTTAATTTAAAATTAAGAAAGAATGTAAATGTGGCCTAGTTTAATGAATAAATGCCTGAATAACATTCTTAACAGATGTTTTAGGATAAAATAATTGATTTTTTACAGAGAGGAAGGGAGAGGGATAGAGAGTTAGAAACATCGATGAGAGAGAAACATCGATCAGCTACCTCCTGCACACCCACTACTGGGGATGTGCCCGCAACCAAGGTACATGCCCTTGACCGGAATTGAACCTGGGACCCTTCAGTCCACAGGCTGACGCTCTATCCCAGCCGTGGGCAAACTACGGCCCGCAGGCCAGATCCGGCCCGTTTGAAATGAATAAAACTAAAAAAAAGACCGTACCCTTTTATGTAATGATGTTTACTTTGAATTTATATTAGTTCACACAAACACTCCATCCATGCTTTTGTTCCGGCCCTCCGGTCCAGTTTAAGAACCCATTGTGGCCCTCCAGTCAAAAAGTTTGCCCACCTCTGCTCTATCCACTGAGCCAAACCGGTTAGGGCTAGGATTGTATTATTTTATGTAGCAAAACATTATGTAGAGTTCATGGTTCCCCAGACCTTGTCCCAAGCTTGCCTGCTCCTGATTCTGTGTCCTCAGGGCCAAAACTCATATGATCTTTTATAATAACAAAGAAACCGGACACCAGGGGCCGAGGCGCCTGCCCTGCTGGATCCAACCCCTAGGAGGCAGGGCTGCGTCCTCGCTGAGCCTTTCTTCCCGTCCTGCCGGCAGCATGGGGAGCAGCAGGTCACCCTGGAAATTCTGCTCTGGCCCCCTCGCCAGCTGCTGGTTATACACACAGGAGGGGGACAGCTACCTGCAGCTGCTGCCAGGGTAACAGGGAAGTGGGGGGGGGGGGGGGTCCGCAGTCGGCCTTCGGGAGCTCAGAGTCCGATAACAAGGCGGCTAATGTCCGATGTTACAAATGCTCAGCGGTGCCTGGGCCCAGGATGGTCAGCGCCCTGAAGTAAAGCCCCAGAGGGGCCAGGGTCCCGGGCAGCCACCGAATGAAAGCTGCTCTGCCCTTGGTCTGTTCTCAGATACGTATCTTTTCTGAGTCAGGGACCCATCAGGCATCTTATCTTTTTACAGCCTCGTCATCCTCCAGTGCCCCAGGGTCTGAGAAAGCTTCTCCTCTACAGCTAGTGAGGTGAGTCATTGCCAGACAGGCGGCTCTCTTCCTGTTAGTGCCCCTCCCCAGGGTCAAGAACTTTGAAAACTAACTTGAGATTAACAAGGAGTGGACCTAATTCCCCAAATGTATGCCAAACATCTCATCTTCGGTCTTCCAGTAGTGACAAGACTGTCTTCAGTCCGAGCACACGACTAATAATCTCATCAGCTGCGTGCAGGTTGGGCGGGGCTTGGCAGTGAGGAAAGGCAGTGGTCCACTCCGGAACCTCTTGGACCCCCCTGGGCAGCGGTCCTCTCCTAACCTTCCCTACCTGGTGGCATTAGGACTTGTAAGTAGGCACCTCGCCTTTGGAGCCAGCCTGCATGAGTTCCAGCTCTGACTCTCCCTCTTTGAGGTCTGTGACTTGGACAGTTGCTTAGTCTCTCTGTGCCTGAGCGTCCTTGTCTGTAAATTGCAATATTAATAATAGCACCCGCCTCATGGGAATGCAGTCAGTACATTTGAGACACTTAGAACTTACCTGGCATCGAGAGAGTTCTAGGAAAAGCTCAGCGAGTATCATTCTTAATAATGCTGTGCTGGTCTGGAATTAGGCCCTGAATCCTTCTGGGAAGCGATGACTTTCAGAATTAAGCTGCATTTACTCAAATAGAGTCATCCCAGGTATGCAGAGCTAAAACTGGTTTCACGGGAGCCCAAGAATTATGTCTTCCTGCCTTGCCCTTGGGGCGGCCGTCTTACTCACCGCCTCCCTCTAGTTCCCTGAGCTCCTTAGAAAACCTTCCTTTTTTCCATCAGAACTGAGACACCAGCAGGGACTTAACTCTAAGGATCTGGAAGCTGTTTTTGGATGAGCTTGCATCACATTCTGAACCATAAACAAAACATTTGCAGGCTCTCTCCAAGGCCTGCCTGCTTCAAGGCTTGACCCTGGGGTTGCTTTTGAAACTCTCATTTGCCCCCACTGGCTGAGCCAGAGGAAACTTCCAGGATTCTGGGAGGGCGGTTGCAAGGCCCCAGCACTCAAGTTAATTCGGAACCAAAAGGGTAATAAGGTCAGGGTGGTAAATGGCAAGCACTTTCTAGTTTGAGAACCTGATGCTAAAACAGAGGGAGGCATTTTGAGTATTTCCTCTCTGAAGGAATGTTGTCCTTAGGCAACATTTTGGCCCCAAATCAAGGTTGAGGGTGGGTGGAGTGGTGGGCGGAGTGGTGGGTGGAGTGGTGCTGGCTTGAGGATGTCTCCGGGCTCCCTTGGAACAAGAGCTCACTGGAACGTGAGGACCCCGGGAGCAGCGGAGCCGCGATCCTGAGCTGTCCTACAGTCGGGTGAGCATTAATTACCTACCTAAAGCTTGTGCTAAAAGCTTGTCTACTCATTTAATAAAAAGTATCAACAACCCAAGTGTAGAGGAAGTGTGCTTTCTTAAAAGTTGTGCTTATTCTTATATTTGTCAAATTCTATATTGGTTCCATCCCTCCCCTGACTTTTAAAGAAAAAAGATACAGTTAAGTGATTCTTTGGCTGAAGGAAAGAAGGAGAGTGTGTAATTGCTTTCCACAGACTTTCCAGTGCCTCCAGAAAGCCGAGGTGCGTCCTGGGGACGAGCAGGGCAGGGGCGGCCCTCTGAGGGTCGGTGCAGTGTCCAGGGCAACTGTTGGAGTCACGCGTCACCCCTCACGCTCCCACACCTGAGTGGCGCTTGGAGGACTGTCTGCGTGTGCCTGAGTGTGGCCAGGCTGTGCACGCAGCTGCCAGCCTGTATGGATGGTTGTAATTTTATGTTAACATCGATAATATTGTGCTTTCCAGGGTCTGTCAAATTTTATGTTTTTAATTTCTTCAAAAATACAAATTCATTTTCTTTTCTTTTAATTTAGCTTCTTTCAGTCCATTGTCAATAGACAGTGAAATAGAGCGGCCATTGCGAGGTTGTTCTCCGGGTGCCGGGTCCCGGGTCCCGGGTCCAAGCACAGCACAGCGATGCTCTCCTGAAACCGCTGCTTCCCATGCTTCTGCACAAGAACCACCTGGTGTGGACCTCTCTCCTGGGTGTAATGAAGCGAGTAAAAGTCATGGGTGTAAATATTTCACAAGTGATTTTGTATGATTTTCTTTCAGTGGAGAGACTGATGACTCTTTCCAGTGATAAATCCTAGTAGCACCGTCGACCTCCTTGGAGACCTTTACCGTCATATGTCAGGGATTCAACTTGAATAATTTCAAGTCAGTTGGCAACGCTGCTCTAGCTGATAAACCAAGAATGAGACTTCGGGTCTTGGCAATCCTAACAGTTCTTATACATTTCACAGCAGCTTCAATCAGTATGTATTGCTTTGCAACTGTAATTTAAAATGTTTTAAATTAAGTAATTTCAAGAACATTTGCCTTGTTTTAAACTGCTTGCTTACAGTCATTCCAGTTGAATTGTAGCCTGGAATTTATTTATGCTCTATAGTCATTCTTCATTACAAATCCGTGAAGATGAGTTCCTCGTAGATATTTCATCGTTTTGGTTTTACATGGTTTTACATGTTCAGCTATGTCACAGCTTACCAGGGCCCTGCATGAGGGGGGCACTGCACGTGGCTGGGGTGACAGCCTGTGTACAGTGGACATGCCTTTCCCACGGGAGCAGTTTGGGGGACGTGGCTCCACACTGACCCTCCAATCTCTGGTACCTATTAGAGCAGCGGTTCTCAACCTGTGGGTCGCGATCCCTTTGGCAGTCGAACAGCCCTTTCACAGGGGTCGCCTAAGACCATCCTGCATATCAGATATTTACATTACAATTAATAACAGTAGCAACATTACAGTTATGAAGTAGCAACAAAAATAATGTTATGGTTGGGTCACAACATGAGGAACTGTATTTAAAGGGCCAGAAGGTTGAGAACCACTGCATTAGAGCATTTCATAAAAGATCTTAATCACTTACTTATTCTTTCTCAGTTTAAGTATCACAAAGTGATACTTAAAGTGAGTGGCTCATTTCTCAATTTAACCCTAGAGGGGACTATCCTAGAGTATAAGAATTGTGATCTTTATACGATCATTTCACAATCATTTCATATTTTTAATTTGCAGGCAGATCATTCAGGGGTATGGAAAATGAGGCTTTATTTGTGAGATGTCCTAGAGAAGGAAGTTATCAATACCCTGTGGAGTGGTATTACTCAAACACCAACCGAAGTGTCACCACCCAGAAAGGAAATCGTGTGTTTGCTGCAGGGGAATATCTTAAGCTTCTCCCAGCCAAAGTTGAGGATTCTGGAGTTTACACTTGCATTGTCAGAAGGTAGGACCAGTCACCATGATCATTAGGCTTGTTCTCTCTTCTTTAAGAGGTGGTAGCCTGAGCTGCCCTCACTTTCCTTCTCTTTATAGACTTTTCTGGTATGGCTGACTTTGCAAAGCGATGTGAGTAACAGAGTACTTCTAGGAACATGCTCGGGTTGGGGTGTACGTGGTTATGAACTAACTACTTGGATGTAAAACTGCAGGGATTAATTTTTAGCCCAGTCTTTTCAGTTAGAAAAAAACCTAGTTTTCCTAGTGACCAAGAAATTGAGACCAGCTGCTCAGTTTTGGCTGGAAGAGAGAGTAAATCAGCACAGCAAACAGTAAGCGAGGCAGTGGGCACCGTGGGCCTGCCGGGGGCGCGGGAGGGTCATCACCATGCCTGGCACCTGAGAGGCGATTGGCGAGGGATGTGAGGTCATGTGCCTGCAGGTTATTCACTCTGCAGAGAGGCTGCTACACGTGTTGATTGCGTGCCTGTATTTGGTCCAGACAAAATGTCAGATGAACTTCACTGAAAGGCAGGACGGGCATAGTTAGGTGCCTAGGTTCTGAGGGCAGACAAGTTCCAATTTCAGATTCATCTCCATCACTAGTCAGCTGGATGCTTACAGGTTACTTCTCTGTCCCTCAATTTCCTCATCTGTAATCTACATAAAATAATATAAACCAGATTTGGGTATAATCATTTCATAATGCTAAGTAACTTTTTAAAATTGTTGGACTTATTTTGATAGTTCTACCTTCGTTAAGACTGGACATGTGAATGTCACCATATATAAGAAACAACCAGGCTGCAAAATTCCAAATGGCCTGATATATTCAAAAACCTTTGGTTCAGAAAAAAATTCCAAAATATATTGTCCTACCATTAAGCGCTACAATTGGACAGCACCTGTTGAGTGGTTTAAGGTAAAGGAAATTTGGGGAAATAAATGAAAGTTACACAAAAAAGATGGACGTTACGGATTATTGAGAGTGGAATGGCATTTTGTATTTCAGAATTGTAAAGTTCTTCAAGGATCAAGGTACTACATACAAGAGGCTTATTTGCTGATTGACAATGCAACTAACGAGGACACGGGTGATTATACATGCAAATTTATGCACAATGAAAATGGAGTCAATTACAATGTGACAGCAACCAGAGCGTTCGCCTTTCACCGTAAGTACAGAGGTTAGCACATGGAGCATTTGCCAGCAGACCGGGCGGGGGGAGTGGCCCTGCTGCTGCAGTTCCTGCGCCGCCCTGGCCTCCACCTGCGTCAGTCAGCACCTCAGTCGGCATCTCTGCCGTCACCACTATCAAGACTTAGACATTCCAGAGGGAGACGGTGTTACTAGCCCAAAATCACCTTTTCTTCCCTTTTTTACTTAATTTTCAAAGATAATGTGATCGAATGCTAACTTAACATTTTTGACCGGCAGTACAACTATTTGAAGAGCAAGATTAACATTTCTTCCCCAATTTATCGTCAAAGGTTCTGTAAATAGAAAAGGTCCACTTAATCTCTGATGTAACTCACTGGACTAGAAGTTGAGTGAGAACCTTTATAAAGACACCTGAGTGTTGTCAAGTGGCTTTCAGCCCTGCTTTGCAATACTTTCAACATCCTCAAAGGCCTCAAGTAGGTCACTTAATTATAAATTTTTTCCAATTTATTTTAAACTCCACAAAAGCCCACTCAGGGAAAAGATATCGCAATCAAGAGTGTCATGTGGACACAGATGGTCCCTTAGCCTGGCTTGGCCATGGGTGTGGAAGAAGCAGGCCTGTGTGTGATTCCTGGGGCAGAACCACGCGGAGAAAGGCTGTGGTGGGCTCTCCGCTCCCACAGGGAAAGGCGCCGTGGACCACGCTCCAGTAGCCATCACGGCTCACAGCGGAACCGCAGGCTCCTAACCATGGGCCCTCAGTGGTGGGGCCCAGTCTGGGGCACACAGTCACCCGGGCACCAGCCCGCACTCGGTCTCTGGGTGCCAGGCCACAGGCCCAGTACTTCCCAAGAGGCTGGGCCATTGGGGGTTGGGGGGTGGTGGTGAGGAGGAGGCAGCAGAAGCGGGGCTCCTGTGTTGATCATTCTCATGGGTGTTCTGATTTCCCCTTCCCTGAAGTGTGCTTTTCTGACAACTATTAGGTTGTACGATTAATTAATGGGTTGGACTAGTATTTGTGTAATGAGATAAAAGAGAATAGAAAATATCAAAGAGCATAATCAGTAGTAAGGGAAAATGCTATTTTATTTTAAAGTTTTATTTCTTTGCGTCTGTATTTGCTGCCATTGTCGTCAGAAAATTTGAGAAGCATTGCTATGAAATAGGATAGAAATTTGAAATACATGTTTATATTGATGACCATCCAAAAGCTGTTCTAACATTGTATTCTCTTCTGGTCTTTGATTCAAGATGACGAAAGCTTTTCATTGTTTCCAGAAATAATAGCACCTCTACAAAACGAGACCCGGGACGTGGAAGTCGGTAAGAAAACTCGGTAACTGTAGCCTGGAACCCTGCCCCCCTCCCGCTGGCCTGAGACCCCCAGGTGGGCCGGCGCGCCCCGCGTCCTGAGGGTTACATGAGGTGTCCGTGGCAGCCCTGCCCCGGCACTGGCTAGGAGAGGGGCCATGTGGTCACAGCCATTCATGGCACCTACTCTGGAGTCAACTTTGTAACTCCTGTGCCCTTGTCACTCCTGTCCGGAAGGAAACTGTCCCCTTACGCTTGTAAAGGGGACCAATGACGTGCCCGAGGGTCTGAATATTCAGTGATAGCCAGGACCAGGCTCTCCTTCTCCGCCTTTCCTGGTCCCCCCAGAGGTGGGGGAGAGGATGCAAAGGTTTTGCATGTGGACGTCCCGCCGACTGGTCCTCACCCACATGCTGGCTCCTCTGCAGCCACTTTCCCACGCCAGTCCCATCGCCCCGACCGCCCGGGCTGTGACACGGCCATGGCATTCCACCTCGGTGCCTGCTTCTGCCCCTTGTTTCACTTCTCACCTCTCAACACGAAGCTCAAATGCAAGCCTCTGCAAAGACCCATCCCCCCCCCCCCCCCCCCTTCAGCAGGAGCACAGCTGCAGGGAGCCCAGGGCCACCGGGACTGCAGCAGGCAGCCTCTCCCTCAGGGACTCCTCCCTGTGTCCCACGTCGCCGCAACCGCTAGGGAACACCTGTGTTCTCATTGCTCGTTTACACCCTTGTCCCCGTGCAGAGACCTGAGCTCCTTTTCTCTCTTCAGACACCTAATTCTAGAGGCCGGAGGGGGAAGGGAGGGCTGGAGGCATGTCCTCGGCCCCCGGGGGAGGCCTCAGGCCCGAGGGAGGGAGCCTCCACTGAAGGATTGGAAGGAGAGGGCTCTTGGGCGATGGCTACTGGGATGGCAGCCAGGTCAGGGAAAGCAGTTTTACGCGCCGGAGCGAGATGAAGAGAACTCGAATGGAAGAGAACTGCGCGCGGGAGGGCAGCTGCGCAGAAAAGCCCGCGCACAGTGAAGGGAAATACGGCAGGACAGCGGGGGGCCGAGGCTGGAGGCACTGTCCCTCTGGTTTCCCCTCGGTGCGAGCGAGCGGAGGGGCTGAGCTCCAAGCCCAACTGCGAGGGACGTAAAGACAACGGGAGGGGCGGCGCGGGCGGCAGGGTGGGAATGGGCGCCAGCCATTCCTCCACATGAAGTAGCCACTGTCTGCAGCAGTTACTATCACTGGCCACTTTCTTCTCCTGCAGGGAGAGCCGCGGACATCACTTGCTCCGCCTGCTTTGGGAAAGGCTCGCAGATATTGACCGTCGTCGTGTGGCAGGTGAACGGGACCAACGTGAGGAACTTTAGCGAAGCCAGAATTTGGCAGGAGCAAGAGCAAAATCAAAGGTATTTTCATAGTGAAGCTGAAACACCCCCTTGGCCTCCCACACAACGGCGACCGGCAAATAGCCTCGGAGGTAACAGTGGCCTCTCAGTTCCAGCAGCGCGCTGACCTGCCGGAGCGCCGTCCTGAGGATAGCGGAGGTGAGGGAGGAGGACCTGCTGCAGAGGTACGACTGCAAGGCCATGAACCTCCACGGCTGGCGAAGGCGCTCGCTGAGACTCAGGAGGAAAAAGCCAAGTAAGGAGTGCTTCCGAGGCGCTGGCCGCGCGCCCGCCGTGCCCGCTGCGAGCTGAAAGCCTTTCTTAGCGCAGCCCGCAGGCCCGCGGCCTCCCAGCGAGGCGGTCTCCTCTGCAGCACGCGACCCTGCAGGCGCGCCTCCCAAGGGTCCGGCAGCCTCTCTCCACGCCACTTCCGCCTCCCTCCCCGCCCCTGCCCTCTTCTCCCCTCCGCCTCCTCCTCGGCTCCGCCCCCATCCCGCCTCTGGCTTCCGCGGGCCTCCTGCTTCCGCCCCGCAGCCGCCGTGCGCACAGTGTGGGGAAGAAGACAGCAGTCTGGGAACATGTCATGCCATAAGCATCGCCCCTTTATAATGTATTTTTGCCATAAAAAGCACACATTTTGTTAGTGAAGCTGGCAAAGTGAAGGAAATGGTGAAGTATTTAATTTCTGTTCGTTCAGTGAGGAAACCTTATTCCTGTGCTTTGCTTATGTTGCCATTTTCGGAACGTTCTCTGGCACCGGGGCTGGGACCGCTTTCATGTTCCCTGTACTTGGTGTTTTGTTCCTTCTAGTTTATCTGTATTTGGTACCTTTCACCTGTTTTTCTTCAAATCAACGTGGTTATGTTCTGTCTCAACAACTGTGTAAATTAAACAAAAATGGTTGCTACTGTTGTACTGTCATGATGAATTTCTTTATTTCTAATCATAGAATAAAAGAAATTACAGCATTATCTTTAATTTTAAAAACAAAAACTTAAAAGGCCTATATCCCCTTATTATTAAATATTATTTGATAAATATGAGCTACTCATAATAATAATATTATTACACATGTTTATTGTTTCCTCCGTACCAGGACCTAATTATTTTCCACTTGATTTCCCCTTAGTTAAAAGTCAATATCCGTAAGAAGGGCTGCTACTACCCTCTAATTGTAAAGATGCGGAAACTGGGGCGCAGGGAGGCCAAAGCTTGCCCAGGTCTGGGGTTCCAGGGCCACGCCCACACGCAGGCAGCGCTCCGTTTGTAAGCACTTTCAGGGAGTAGTCAGAGCTCAGTCGTCTCGTAAAAACAGGCCTTTACTCACTGACGAGAGGCCAGATGCACGCAAGAGCAGGCCTTCGCCCCCCACCCCCAGCCCCGCTGCCGGCACTGGCTTCCCTCTGGCACCTGGGACCCACCCCAGTGTCCCTCGCAGCCCCAGCTTCATCCGGAAGGACGTCCGGTCTAATTAACATATTGCACTTTACTAACATTAACGGGTAGATGAGGCCCTGACACCTGGGAAGGCACAGAGCCACTTGCTCTGATGTCCTGGTTAACTTCTCTCCTTCCTTGGAAGTGGCAGCTGCGCCCAGGGCCGGAGCTGTAGGAGAGGGAGCTGGAGGCCTGTGGCGGGTGCCTGTGCGAGGGAGCACTCGCTTACACCGCTGGTGGCACAGTGAGCTCTCTGCCAGCGTCCTGGCCATTCTCTTTTTTATTTATTTATTTTTTTTGCCTATTTTAGGTGCCTCATGTAAGTGGACTCGTACAATATTTGCCCTTTTATATGTGGTTTATTTCACTCAGCATCATTCCTGCCACCCGAGCCAGGATTCCATTTCTTTCTAAGGCTGACAGGCCCAGCCTTTACAGTCAGGCTCAGATGGAAGTGTTTTAACAAGATACTTCACACGCAGTGCTGTGGCTTTCATATCACACAAAGGCACGAGGCGCAGGTCTGGCTGCCCTGGCCGTGACCTCAGCCCGCCGGTCAGTCCTGTACACCGTCCTCCCTCCTCCCTCCTCCCACCGCGGCCAAGCTTCCGCTCACCTTCACACTCATTAGCTGGGACGCTGTGAAATGGAATTTCTCCTCGTTCCCCCGGCTGCTCGGTGACCCTAACTGGTCCAGTGCCTGCAGGAGAGGCAGGGTAAGCGCCAGTCCGCCTGTTTGCTGACTTGCAGAGTAAGGAGTAGGTGCCCTGCTTACTTCTAACAGAGTTCAAAGTGTCACCTCTTCCGTTGGTGGTGCAGGAGGGCTCTCACTAGGATGCATCGTGATATACTTCTGGTGTGTTTTGAGGGCAATGACAATGGTTAACAAAACCATGCAGGTTGAAGGTGCATCATTCCCCAGCACATCTGTACACTGTGCAGTGTGTTCACCACCCCAGTCAAGTCTCCGTCCACCACCATTTATCCCCTTCACCCTCCTCCCCCTCCTCAGCCCCCTCCTCCGGCAATTGCCACACTGTTGTCCATGTCCATGAATTTTCTCTTCTTTTTTCCCTTTTGCTCAATCTCTCCCCTCCACACACTCTGCCCCACCCCATCCCAGCAGCTGTGACCTGCTCTCCATGAGTCTGTCTCTATTTTGTTTGTTAGTTCATTTTGTTCATTAGATCCCACATCTGAGTGACGTCCATGGTGCTTGTCTTCCTCAGTCTGTCTTGGCCATTCTTGGTCTCATGGTGTTGGGCGCGCAGGAAGTGGTGGGCAAGCGGAGGGAATTTTGAATATGGGCCCGTGCTTTTCCATGTCAAACCTGGGAGCCCATGCTTTGAGGTTTAAGGTGAAAATCAAAGGAGAACTATATAACCAACTCTCATTTGAGATTCTTCTCATGCACATCACTAAGTGGGGTTACTTGCAAAACATGGCAGTTAGCAGTTCCAAAGGGGGAGGTAAACCTGAAACAGCCACCAAGACCGTTAATGGTCACAGCTCTTACGTTCAGTTTGCACATACCTGTCACAGTCCTTGAAGATGGGGACCATCACGCAAATGTATTTTGTGGGGCAATGAGTGCAGGCTACAGTTCAGTGATGGCTAAATAATGTTCACCGTAAGAGAGGTAAGGGGTCTGTGGGGGACCTAGAGCCCGGAGCTTTGACTGCTCTACCAGAGAGCTTTAAGGCTTAAGTGGCTCTTGCTTCTTCCCCACTCCTCCAGCTACCAACTCCAGATTCAGAAATCTCCAGGACCTGTTGACGCGTTCTCCTTAGTGCCCCAACACTGGGCTCGTCCACTCCTTTCTCATTATTGCTCTCCTTTCTCTTACTCCAAGCTGCAGAAACTTGCCGCCCACTCTACTCCAAGTTTCTTTCCACAGAAACAAGCCTTCCACCGCCATCAAATTAATCCTGCTTGAAAGTCACGTTCATTGTTAACACTCACACAACGCTCTTCGTTGGCTCCCATGACCTTCAGAATAAAGGCGAAATGCCTTGGCTGTAGCCTTGATTCTTAACAGATCTTCATTCCCCAAATTGAATTACTCGGTTCCTCAAAAAACATGCTCCCACCCCTGCCCTTGTGCTCACAGCGCTGTCTCTTGCCAGGAGTCACACAGTTCTTTCTGCAGCAATCTCAATTTGCCTTTTCAGGGACCGCCTCCTGCAGGAAGTCTTCATTCCCAGTCCATATGTCTAAAAACCTCTGACATATGCTTTTATTTCCTACCTGCGTTAAGTTGACGTGTCTCTATGCCTCGTATGCTCGTTTTCACAGTAATAATTTTTGTCCTCCCACATCTTTTGAATAGTTGATCGTCAAAGCACCTACTACATGCTTGCTGGATTTGGCATATTGTTAATGCTAATTAATATCATGATGATAATGCTGAAGGTGTTCTGGATTGAGGTTATTCTTCTCTGGAGGGACGTAGCGAGGCCTTACAAAGCCAGGAACGGTAAGTGCAAGTTTCGAGTTCTTCAAAAGAAAAGGTACCATAATAACTCTTTGTTACTTGTTTCCCTCTCTCTTAATGGCTATGCTACAAAGCCCAGCTTTCCTTTTGCTTACCAGCATGTGCTCCGCAAACCTTTCTGGGTCCTCTCAGAAGCCATTCTTCATCCTGCCTGTCGCTCCTTGTGATTCTCAGATGCAACTTAACAATTCGAACTTCCTCCCCGATAGATTGCGCTTCCTACTAAAGCCCCAGTAACAGACTCTGCCCAAGTCCCAGAAAGGTTTACACATTTTGGAATTTAAACTTAACTAAATTGTTCCTGTTCCCAGACGTGCAGAGGTCAGACAGGTCCAGCAGCGCGCAGGGGCCCTGCTGCACCGTCTGACCAAGGCCTGGGGCATGCACATGGAAGAAGACAGCTCTGCCTCTGCCTCTGCCTGTGAATACCTCGCTCGGAGGCAGATGGGCTTCAGCTGGTCCACAGGGTCCACTCCACTCGGGCTACTTGTTGGATCTTTTGGAAACTCAGTTCCCTGAAACATTTTACTCCCTTTGCCACTATCAGCCTTTAGCAATGTTACCTCCCCAGGGGAAGCATCAGGCAAACAAAAGACAAGATCGAGATCTTACAGCACAGCGTACCTTATCCATGACTATACATATCTGTTGATGAAATGTGACAATATGGTTGGAACTAAACTGCCAGCCTCTTGCCCATTCTCTCTCATTCCGTCTGGGACAGTAAAAAGGAGGAGGTTTTGGAATTAAGATTGATTTTCTGATGACATTTGTGGCAGCATACTATTGTCATCTGGAATCTACAATATTTTGGGGTGTTGGATACATTCATCAATAACCATAAAACTTGATGGCGAATACTAGAATCAAATACTAAAGTTGTACTTTCTGCTCTCCCTTTCAGATGGGAAGATCTACGACGCTTATGTTATCTACCCACGGACCCACAAGGACAGTCCGGAGGGGACCTGTTCTGTGGAGTACTTTGTTCACCAGGTTCTGCCCGACGTTCTTGAAAATAAATGTGGCTACAGCTTATGCATTTATGGGCGAGATCTGCTACCTGGAGAAGGTAACACTATCAGCATACATCAAGGACAGAAATACACTTCCTTAGAAGGCTCAGGGAGGGTGGTCTCATCGTGGCGATGGATAAAGACTTAGTGTCATCATTCCAGGCCCAACAACGGTCACTTTCACTATTTCTCCAGAGGAAGGAGATGCTTATTCTCGCTCCTCCTGCCCCTCGGTCGCCCTGATCGAGAGGTCTGCACCAGGGAGGTGAGGACAGGGGAAGGCACCCTTAGCATGTGGACTTGGCAGGGCACTCTCCTACTTCCCATGTCCACCACTAAGATCACTCAACATCTCTTACTTCTCTCTAGAAGATGTGAAGGGGGATTCTAAAACCATGAAATTTTGTTCTACTATCCAGAGTCATTGCCTAAAATATTTATGATTTTCCTTATGATGGTGAAACATTTGCAAATTTATCTTCTCACAAGAACAACTAAGACTGTGTCTTTTGTTCTTGATATTCCTAGTCGATTTCATGCACTTTTGGAAGCAGCGTCGCAGTCCCAGCAGCTCAGTAGTTGCTCTTATCTTTCTCTGTATTTGCATCACATGAGCCCTCCTTGCCCTTCCTAATTCCTCAGGGGCCAGGAAGTATTTGAGAGCGATGAGGCAGGAACACAGTGAGCAGGAGTCCAATCAAATTGATGGCATTTCTACTGAAAAGAGGAGCTCACATGCTTACACATTAAAGGATACACACAGCAGGTGAATCTGGTGACCCTGGCATGCTGGAGTGATGTTAACCGCCTAGGCAGGGCTTGGGAGACGTGTACGATGCACACCTGAGGAAACGGAAAGCTAAGTCTTCTCTTGGGGCGCACTTCTTCCTCCAGCTCTCCCACTGGCTGTCCACGGAGGCAGGGAGCGCAAATGGTCTCTTTATATTACAGGTCCGCCCAAGAAGTTGCAGGGACTGCAGCTGGCAGTGATGTCACACCATGTGCACATCTGGCCGCAAGCTCTTCATCTCTTCTTTCCCAGGCTCATCAACCTCATTTCTAGTTATAACTCTTCCCAGTCGAGTGTAAATGCCAGCTCACTGGTGCTCACTGTTTTTCATTTGGAAAAGTTTTCTACTTCCCCTTCAAGCGTGTCCTCCGTCCTTACTACAGCCAAAGCAAAATGAAATACAACAAAATAACACCAAACTTGACTCTCTCCTTAGAAAATGTCAATGACTGACCGATGCAGTGTATTTCTTCCCTGCTAGAGACCTTCCATTTGCTCCTGCAACCCCGTTCAGCGGCCCTGGGTGGCTGATCATTACAGACCCACCACTCCCTCGCCCTTGGCTCCACGTTGGTTTTGGCCAAAGGGAGCTGCCCCTGGGTGATGTTGCCAGGGTAGCTGCCCTTCTCTCTGCTGGAGCAGGGCTCCTGTTGCCGGCCTTCCTCAGGCCTTTCCACTCCTTGGCTTCATAGCTGCTTCCTTCCTCGCACACTGGAGAGTGCATTTGCTCCCTGATATTGCCAGGGTTGGGGGTCTGCCCCGCCTCTCATCGATTTCCCTGGCTCTGCCCACATAAACTCTCTTTCATCTGTCCTTCTGAGTGTGCCCTGTTTTTTGTTAGGATCCTGACTGGCCCAAGGTCTCTGTCCCTCTGTCCGGCTCTGTTTAACATTTCCTTCCTTATCTCAGACTCAGCAAATTGGCAGTCTCTCAGCCCCTCTCGGGAATATGTGGGGCTGTTCTGCCGCGCGCTGGGTTTCTTAACCACGCATCACTCTGCAGTGAGAACTGGGTTTTAATGTTTATCTAAGTCCACCCCGATGTTAGTTGAAATCTCTTTGGAGCTGATGCTTCATAAACATCGACTTGCCAAGGGCCTCTGTCTTCCTAAAGGTTTTTCTAGTCTGGATCACATCCAGCTCTCAAACAGGGGTCACGGGGTTGCAGGGGATCCAGGACTCCCTGGAGACTTAGTCCTTCAGAGGAACAAGGGTCCCGAGTTGGCACTCTTTTTCTTTTAATCCTCACCAGAGGATGTTTCCACTGATTTTTTTTTTTTTTTTTGAGAGAGAGAGAGAGAGAGAGAGAGAGAGAGAGAGAGAAACATTGACAGACTGATCAGTTGCCTCCCCTATATGCCCCGACTAGGTGTAGCACCAGCAGCCTAGGCATGTGCCCTGATGGGAAACCTCACCGCAGCCTCTTGGTGCAGGGATGACACTCCAAGCCACTGAGCCGGGCCAGGACCTGAGTGTGCACTCCTTAATGAGAGTTAAAGTTCTAATCTCTTCTAAAACATGTAAATGGATACTGTAGAACAGTGGTTCTCAACCTTCCTAATGCCGCACCCCTTTAATACAGTTCCTCCTGTGGTGGTGACCCCCAACCATAAAATTATTTTCATTGCTACTTCATAACTGTAATTTTGCTACTGTTATGATTCGTCATGTAAATACCTGATAGGCAGGATGTATTTTCATTGTTACAAATTGAACATAATTAAAGCACAGTGATTAATCACAAAAACAATATGTAATTATATGTGTTTTCTGATGGTCTTAGTCGACCCCCAAAGGGGTTGAGAACTGCTGCTCTAGAAAGACACTGTGCAGCGAATGAGCCTGGATTCTGCCTGAGGGCTGATCTACCTGGCGGAGGGGGATGGAGGCCCAGTGGAAGGGGTAGACTCCCCGGGGCTCTGGATCCAAGCCTTTTCCGAATAGGGGGACTGATGGTGTCAGAATCTCACACCAGATAACAATGTTTTAAGTTCAGAACATGGACGAAAGCATTAGACTTAACACGCAGCTCAGGCCACCTCCTCCGTGTCTTTCATTCCTAGACGTGGCCACGGCGGTGGAGACCAACATCCGAAAGAGCCGGCGGCACATTTTCGTCCTGGCGCCCGCAGCGGCGCACAGCGAGGAGCTGGCCTACGAGCAGGAGGTGGCGCTGCACAGCGCCCTGGTGCAGGGCGACGCCAAGGCCATCCTCATCGAGGTGCTGGCTCCCGGCGGCCTGCAGCTCGCGGGGCTCCCCCGGTCCCTGCAGCACCTGGTGCAAGTCCAGGGCACCATCAAGTGGCGGGAGGACCACGTGGCCAACAAGCGGTCCCTGAATTCCAAGTTCTGGAAGCGCGTTCGGTACCACATGCCTGTGCCCAGCAAGCCTCCCTGCAAGACGGCCCTCTCGGCTCCCTGAATGGCTCCCGGATGTGCGCATGCGCCGGAGTTGCACCTGGGACCGCCTAGGGCCGGCCCTAGGGGGTGGGAGTGGGAGTGGGGGTGGGGGAGAGGTGGGGGTGGGAGGGGAGAGGGTGGGGGTGGGAGGGGAGAGGGTGGGGGTGGGGGAGAGGGTGGGGGTGGGAGGGGAGAGGGTGGGGGTGGGAGGGGAGAGGGTGGGGTGGGAGGGGAGAGGGTGGGGTGGGAGGGGAGAGGGTGGGGGTGGGAAGGGAGAGAGGTAAGGACTGAGGGTGGGGGGTGAGGGAGAGGGGGTCAGGGAGAGGGCTGGGAGTGGGGCGTGGGGGCCCAGAGGGGAAGGGCAAAGGTGTTCAGCCCCAGCTCTTGTCTAGAATCCGGACCTCCTTCCCCTGACTCTGGGTGGTTACAAAATGCTTCCAAATGTTATTCCCCCCACCCCAACTCCGCCCCTCCCTGCGGCCCTCGCTCCTTCCTTTGCTGGTCTTTCTCCGTCCAGGCCTGGGGTCTTTCACTGTGCCCTTCCTCTTCATCTCTCTTTGTTTGTCCTCTCCTTAATCCTTGTCAATTTCCTGCATTTGAACATCAAACTCAGTTTTAGAGTTAAATTTTTATATAAGCTGGAAGAACACGCAGATTCCCTTGTGCAGAATGTTGGTAGTAAATCTTGTTCCCATATGCCAGAATTTATTATATTTTATTTGATCAAAGCTTAGTTTTATCATTGCCTAATGTATTGTGGTATCTTACCCAATTGCTATTATAATCAAATTATTTTCAGTTCTAAAATTTCTTTCACAGCCCTGGCTGATTTGTCTCGGTGGATAGAGCGTCTGCCTGTGGAGTGAAGGGTCCCGGGTTCGATTCCAGTCAAGGGCACATGCCTGGATTGTGGGCTCGATCCCCAGTCGGGGCCGTGCAGGAAGCAACCAATCAATGATTCTCTCTCATTGATGTTTCTGTCTCTCTTGCCCTCTCCCTTCTTCTCTGAAATCAATAAAAATATATTAAATAAATAAATATAATTTCTTTCATATATTGTTGTTGTCTATAGAAATACTTTCCTCATTGTAAAAATTACAGAACAGTAAGTATAAAAGAAGAAAATAAATAAAAATAATCCATAGATCTATCACCCTAAAATTATGTATTTGCTTCTAAAGGTAAATTCATACTTACACACGCCGTTTACAGAGCTAAGACTTCACGGTGTGTAGTCTTATCTGATGGGGTTTAGCACCCACCGTGGGACCGTGCTGGGGGGGGCTGCGGCATGGAAGGGCTACAGAATGTTACAGAACGTGCTGGGAGGGGGCTGCGGCATGGAAGGGCTACAGAATGTTACAGAACGTGCTGGGTGAGGGGCTGCGGCATGGAAGGGCTACAGAATGTTACAGAACGTGCTGGGAGGGGCTGCGGCATGGAAGGGCTACAGAATGTTACAGAACGTGCTGGGAGGGGGCTGCGGCATGGAAGGGCTACAGAATGTTACAGAACGTGCTGGGAGGGGCTGCGGCATGGAAGGGCTACAGAATGTTACAGAACGTGCTGGGAGGGGGCTGCGGCATGGAAGGGCTACAGAATGTTACAGAACGTGCTGGGAGAGGGGCTGCGGCATGGAAGGGCTACAGAATGTTACAGAACGTGCTGGGAGGGGGCTGCGGCATGGAAGGGCTACAGAATGTTACAGAACGTGCTGGGTGAGGGGCTGCGGCATGGAAGGGCTACAGAATGTTACAGAATGTGCTGGGTGAGGGACTGCGGCATGGAAGGGCTACAGAATGTTACAGAACGTGCTGGGAGGGGCAGCGGCATGGAAGGGCTACAGAATGTTACAGAACGTGCTGGGAGGGGGCTGCGGCATGGAAGGGCTACAGAATGTTACAGAACGTGCTGGGTGAGGGGCTGCGGCATGGAAGGGCTACAGAATGTTACCGAACGTGCTGGGAGGGGGGCTGCGGCATGGAAGGGCTACAGAATGTTACAGAATGTGCTGGGCGAGGGGCTGCGGCATGGAAGGGCTACAGAATGTTACAGAATGTGCTGGGAGGGGGGCTGCGGCATGGAAGGGCTACAGAATGTTACAGAATGTGCTGGGCGAGGGGCTGCAGCATGGAAGGGCTACAGAATGTTACAGAACGTGCTGGGAGGGGGCTGCGGCGTGGAAGGGCTACAGAATGTTACAGAACGTGCTGGGCGAGGGGCTGTGGCATGGAAGGGCTACAGAATGTTACAGAATGTGCTGGGCGAGGGGCTGCGGCATGGAAGGGCTACAGAATGTTACAGAATGTGCTAGGGTGAGGGGCTGCGGCATGGAAGGGGTACAGAATGTTACAGAACGTGCTGGGAGGGGGCTGCGGCATGGAAGGGCTACAGAATGTTACAGAACGTGCTGGGCGAGGGGCTGCGGCATGGAAGGGCTACAGAATGTTACAGAATGTGCTAGGGTGAGGGGCTGCGGCATGGAAGGGTTACAGAATGGTACAGAATGTGCTAGGGTGAGGGGCTGCGGCATGGAAGGGCTACAGAATGTTACAGAATGTGCTAGGGTGAGGGGCTGCGGCATGGAAGGGCTACAGAATGGTACAGAATGTGCTAGGGTGAGGGGCTGCGGCATGGAAGGGTTACAGAATGTTACAGAATGTTCTAGGGTGAGGGGCTGCGGCATGGAAGGGTTACAGAATGTTACAGAATGTGCTGGGCGAGGGGCTGCGGCATGGAAGGGCTACAGAATGTTACAGAACGTGCTGGGAGGGGGGCTGCGGCATGGAAGGGCTACAGAATGTTACAGAACGTGCTGGGAGGGGGACTGCGGCATGGAAGGGCTACAGAATGTTACAGAATGTGCTGGGAGCGGGGCTGCGGCATGGAAGGGCTACAGAATGTTACAGAATGTGCTGGGAGGGGGGCTGTGGCATGGAAGGGCTACAGAATGTTACAGAATGTGCTGGGAGCGGGGCTGCGGCATGGAAGGGTTACAGAATGTTACAGAATGTGCTGGGAGGGGGGACTGATGTATGGAGGATTGTGTCAGGGTTAGGAACCATAGAAGACTGATACTAATGTTAACTATAGCCCCCTGCATTTTTAGGTCGAATGAGAAGGCGAGTTTTTTGTCGCCCCTGGAGTGTATGATTAAAAATTTCTCTGATTTCAAAAAACGGGCAGGTGATTATTGTGCCCCGGTTGATGCCTTTACTCTGAGAATATTCTGTGAGCGGGAGTGGCCCTCCGCTGGGACTCTTGACATGGCCATTTGCCCCGGGGTCAGACAAATTGTTTTCGGAGACCCAGGACACCCCGATCAAGAGCAATATATTGAGGTATGGACTGATATTCTATGGAATAACCCTAAATACCTCTGTGACTGTGGTTGCGTCCCTAAGAGAAAATCTTGACAGAGACCATCCAGGTCGGTTCTTCTGGCTAAGCCCCAGGGGAGAGAGAAGCCAAAAAGACCCCTGGCTACTCCCGCGCCTCGGCCATACTGGAGGCGCTGGAGGAAGAGGCCCCGCCTCGGCTGCCTCCATCCCCTTACGCATTCCCGGGGGGGAGAGCCTTTACCCTTCTCTCGAGGGCAAGCGGGAGGAAAAGGGGTCTCCGAGCCCCGACAGTACCTCAGCGGGAGTGGCGGAGAGGGAGGAACAGGGGCCATTGAGTCCGTCCCACACCAGGTCCGGAACCTCCTTCGCACGGACCGCCCAGTAACCCAGTTGCCTCTCAGAGAGACGGGGGAAGTTAGTGCGACCGGGCAACCGCTCCGGACCTATGTCCCCTTCACAACCTCAGATTTGTATAACTGGAAAAACCAGAAACCCCGTTCTCCCAGAACCCCCAGAGGCTGATAACCTTATTGGGGTCGGTCTTTTATACCCACCAGCCCACTTGGGATGACTGTCAGCAGTTGTTGACTACTCTGTTCACCGCCAAGGAGAAGGAGAGAATTAAGAGGGAGGGGAGGAAGCAGGTTTCAGATGCTCATGGAGAACCTACCACGGATGAGGATAGGAGCGCGGAAGTGTTTCTTGGTGTTTATTGTCAAAAAGTTGTCTGCTTCTGTGTACACCCTGCTGCAATGGGTTTTTTTTGAAAATTTTCAGGACTTCAGGGAGCAAGGTGCAGGTTCCGGGCAACCTTAGGTTGCATTTGGCTGGTTTGTTTTGTCTCTGTTCTTTGTTGTCTTTGTCTTTGTCAAATGGAATAGGGTCAGTCATCTTCATCGACCCCCTGTCAGTCAGGCCCACTCCGGGTGAGTGGAAGGGGAGCTTGATCACCTCCTGGGAAGCTATAGAGCTCCCTCAGGAATGGGGAAATTGTTAGGAATTGGGTGGATTGTTTAAACTCTGAGTGAATGTCTGGTGAAAGTGTGTGAGTGTGGAGGGAGGGGGCCTGCCCTCTCCTCTCCTTTGTGTGGCTCCACGACTTCGGTTACGGAGTTTGAGTGGGCCCCAACCTGCGGTTCCGAGATTCGTCATATGGCATAACGGTGACTCACCCCCATGTGGAGGTGACCAGGCCCCGGGTTTATACGGGTGCACCCTAGCTACGACGAATCTAAGCTCCCAAGGGACGCGGCCAGGCGGGCATCTGCGTGAGGATCTGTGAAAACAGGTCACCCCCTCCCTTGTCTGTCTCTCACCACCGATCATCATGGGGTCGGGAAAAAGTTTGTTTGTGTGGGACTAGCCAAATTACTACAGAGAAGGAGGACTAGATACAGCTCCAGCCTGGGCTAGGCTACTAAGAAAGTGTAAATCATTACTGGTCTGTGTAAAGTAAAAGCTACTTTGATTTATTCTGCTTTCTGTTGATACGCTTGGCTGAACGTTTGGGCTGGCCCCTTTAATAGTCTTCAAAGCCTCTTGCAGCTGCAAGAATTATTTTTTTCTCAGAGTCTTTTGCTCACTGTTAAAGGGAATCAGCCTACTTAGTTAATAAAGATTTCTGTCTATCAGTTGCTCTTACCTGGCTTGTAATTTACTGTATTAAACTGAAGTTCTGGGGTAGATTTAAAAGTTATAATGTTAATGCTTTTGATTTACAGCGATTCTGTGAATGGGAGTGGCCCACTT